ATGAAAATAAACCAATGTTGACATCCATTATGGCTTACTTGATATGAATTTCAAAGGCAAATGCACAATCAAGAATACAGATGATTCATATTGCAAATATTGAATGTACATAAATTGATTAATAATCTGCATAAACTTATCTCATATCCAACACATCTTTGGATCATGAAATTTATGAGCTGGAATTTTTTCATATGAACCTATAACAATTTGCTTTCAAGCAGATACTTTAATGGCCAAATTAATACATATTTACATGTTCTTTTAAAATGAATACCAGTGGGAGAATACTTTCATTTGCTGGTTGAGAATTTCTTAGTATTAAAATGGAAAATAGAGAAATACAACTTAACCCAAAAAAAAAACAAAGGAAAATTCTGGAAATTTTGTATGTCAATTAGGGTACAATGAAATTAATGCATGCACCATCTGCTTTAAATGATCCATTGATGCGAACTTACATGGAAATTGTATCACAATGAGCAACAATATGAACATGTGTTTGCACTAATCAATTAAAAACTTCCACAAATTAGACAACTGCATAAAATATTACATGAAAAATGACCCAAATTAAGGAATGAACAAGCAAAAAATGACATAAAAATCCAAGATTAGGCCAATTTAAGTCTACTCGATGAGAAATTATGTGACTAGTGACCAAAAGCTAGAGCAGTATAACCTAAAATTGTAAAAATGGAAGAAATACTATCCTAAATTTATGCATTAATATCGATAAAAACAAATGGAAAATCAAAGCTTCAAATGTCATGAAAAATGAAAAAATTTAAGTGCTTTTAGCGTGATAACAAGTACATGAAATACTTCAATTTTAGCGTGATAACAAGTACATGAAACTAACCAAAAACATGGAAATCTTAAGTCTAATATCAATGAGATTAGCCAATAAAGGTGCATTCTGAACACAGTCAGCAATTTTACCAAAAACAAATCACATTGAGCTTGCGAGATATAATTTACAAGAAAGTAACTCACTAATCGATCATTACCTTAAAAAATAGGAAACTACGCAAAATCAATAAGTAGCTAACGATTTCAGAGAACAATACATTTGGAAAATATAAAAAAAAATGACCAAAATTTAGTGCAAAAATATTAACAAATGAATAAAGAAATCAATCTCACTTGATATGATACTCAAATGAGAAACTGCAACAGATGATCTTTTCAAAACAATCGACACTCTGCACAGGGTTTCGCACATCCGGCATCTTTGAATTGCAAGCCCGATTAGCTGTAAAAGATACAATAATTTTAACATAAAAAAAAAAATACCAGGAAGGAGAAGAAGTAAATTAAAAGAATGGAATCTATTTGATGAACGAGGAGGAGGTTTAAAAGCTTACATAATAGCAGAGCTTTTGAGTTGCAGAGGCTTCTTCCATTGGAGCTCTGCAATTTCGTAGGGTTTTTGTTTCTAATTCCAATGAGTATCGAAGAAGGCGGGAGATGGCCTCGCTCAATTTTAAATGGTTGGAACAATGACGAAACTACCCATAAATATTTCCCGAAATAACTCTAAAGTAACACGAATTCCTTCTGTTTGAGAAATTTTACGCGAGGCGCATATGTAAGGAGAACTAACATTAGGATCCAGGATTCCAGAATCTAGATGGATAGATGATCATGTAAATTGTATGGTCAGGGATGCTATCACCATCCAATAATCGTCCATTAGATCGATTGGCTGTATGCCACAGGGAGGGTTGAGACCCGCGTCAAACCATAACATGACCTAGAAGAGTGAACTTGGTTCGGTTTATCTCCATGGCCATCAAGTCAAGGCTTGGACGACGATGAAACTTGTGATCTAGATTTTCTATGTTCATATGGATCATAACATCCTAAGTCCATTGAGTTCGACGGTTGGGCAACTTCCACAAAAAGTCAAAAAGTAAGGGTGGCAACGGGCTAGGGCAAAAGCAGATGGAAAAAAAATGAAGGAAACAGAAAAAAAAAAAGGAGGGTTAGGTAGGGCCAAACTTGATTGGCATAGGCTGTAGCCCGGACCTAACCTACAAACTTTAGAGTTGGGCCAACTAGGCCTAGTTGGGCCACCCAGCCTATTGCCAACCCCAGTAAAAAACAATGATGATTTAAAAGCTGAAAAATTACATCCATACCCCTTTAATTAACAGTTATCACTAAATCCCCCTATGTTTATGGTTATTACACTCATACCTATTTTCTTCATACTTCTTTTCAAAATGACCAAAATACCCAAATTTTGGATTTTGAAAACCAGAAGGTTTTCAAACCTGATTTAACCTTGCTTTGAAAGAGAATGAGAACACTACAAGTTAAAAAAAGAGAGGAAGAAATAACTTTGGAATTTCAAATATCCAAAATTTGTAGTTCCACAACAACATTGAGGTTTCAAACCCCAAAGTTTGTATTGTTGTCATGTGCATTGCTTTCTACTACCAAAATTGCAGTTACAACTCTATGTTTTAAGCAACAAAATTTTTACTATTTCAAGTAAGAGTGTACATTGCAAAATTCCAACAAAAATTACGGGGTTTCCAAACCCAAAACTTTTATAGTTTTGAAGAGTTGAGAGTTGTTTATGCTCGAAATTGTGAGTAGAGGACTACACCCCCACCTTGTTTTTAGGTGCAAACATATCGATGAGTTGGTACAGTATGGGTTATCAAATTATGTTTTGAGGGACAATCGGATCCTAAGACCTTATCCCCCTCGGATCGCCATCAAAGTCGGCTTCCCTTGTCATCTTAACGTTGAAACTCACCCAAGAAGGTTTTGAAAGGGATTTGTACATAAAAGGGAGATTTTAATAAAATAGACATAAAAAGAGAATAAACGAAGAAAACCACAAATAAGCAACTAAACTAAAAAGATGCAAGTAAACATAAGTAAATAATCTAACTACTAGATGCCAGAAGAACAAGAAATTAAAAACCATGGAAGCAAAAGAAGTAAGACTAACCTAAACATGCATAACATAAGATGAAAGAGAGAGATATTACCATGGATACACAAACATAGTTCCGAAGAAGGAAGAGGATGAGATCCTCATCGATGGGACAAAGAGATATGAGTATAAAATACAAATAAAGATAAAAATACAACATGAAGAAAAGTGAATAGAAGAAAGGAGAGTGAAAGATAGCTTATACTAGTACATAATCTGCAACAAAAGTAATCAAAATAAATATAAGAAAAAAATAAAAAGAAATAACATGAGAACGAGGGTTAAGATGAATGAAATAGAGAGAAGCAAGGAATGAATCATTAAAAGGGGAGAGAGGAGGATAGGTAAGTGTGAATCCTTAATAGAAGGTAGTGAAGATCAAAAAAATCAAATATAACAAGAAGAGAAGAAGAGAGGCTAAGCCATTGAATAAAATCTAAGGGAAAAAGGAAAGTTAGTATAAGAGAGGATAGGAGATGAGAGGGGTGGATAAATCCAAACTATTAACAATGACCTAGTTAAAAAGGTGAGAAATAGATATAACCTGAAGAAACTAAGAAAGACTAATGTATTGAACAAACTATAAGGGAAAAAGATAAAATAAATGTAAAAAAGAGTGGAGATTAAGAAGAATGAAGAAGATGAGATTCAAACTATAAGGTAAAAGAAAAGTGAAGAAATTAAAGAGAAAAGCCCCTAGCTAAGACGGAAAAACATAACCGATAAGCATTAGGTTAGAACACATGAGAGATGTGAGAGATCTACATTATTATATGAATAAGAGAAGGGAAAGAAGAATGAACACAACTAATCGAAGAAATAAGAGAAGCAAGACATGAGAATACCATTAACAAATAGAAAATATAAAAGATCAAAACGAGGATAGAGAATCTAAACTAACAAGAGATGGAAAACAAGATGAGATATCAATATAACAAATCAAGAAGAATACATGCTATAAAATGAAAGAGAATCACTACTTAATGAAGAAGACAATGAAAGAGAGAGGGATCTACACCATCATTACTAATAGTAAAGAGAGGGAGATGAATAAACACAAAGATCCTAACTAGAAATAAATGCTCTTGAGAAAGGAATGAAGAATATATAGAGTGAAAGATAAAAGAGGTTCATTGAGAAAAGGGGATCTACATCATCAAAGTAATAAAAATGAGTAATAAATGCCAAAACAAGGGAAATAAATACAAACTAACAAAAAAGGGAAATGAGACTAAATATAACTAATCTAGCTTAATAAATACCATGTTAAATAAGAGAGCATTAAAGTAGATAAAACACAAGAGGAAGTAGACGAAAACAAGCAAAACTAACTAGAAGATGATAAACGCCAAGTTTATAAAAGGAAAAGAAAACTTCATCAAGAAATGAAGAAGATAATGAAAGAAATCATAAATGTGAGTGATGAGTGAAAATAAATCTTATAAAAACAAATAAAAGAAAAAAAAGAGGGGGAAATGGCATATAGGCCGGGCTCCCAAGCTTGGCAACCAAAGTCAGCGTCGATTCAAATAGTAAGTTTGCACAATCAACCCAAACTTTCTCGGTTCTTAACGTGGCAGATATAAATAAGAAGAAGGAGGACCGAAAGCTCTGATTATCCGGAGTGCCTTCGATTTGAAGTGTAACTTGAAGGAGTTTGTGTTTGTAGCTTTAGATTGAAGGGTTTGGTAGGATGGGAGTTGCTTAAAGGGGATATTCTCTCAAGCTCAAGCTTGGGTTTAAGATCAATAAATATCTGGGCATAGTCTAGGCACAAGATCAAGAGAACTTTAACTTTTTTCTTGAGGTGAAGTGGGCTTTTTATAGGAAAAAATGAACACATGACAACCTGTATCCAGTTTGTGTGAAAGTTTTTGTCTTCAGAGCTTTGGCGCCATTTGGAATAGCGTTGGCGCTTGTTGGACTGGCATCAAGTCATTAATGCTTACCATGATGACAGTTAGTAGAAATTAATTGCTCATTAATACTGGTCTGTACGATCTGTCAAATTCTGACGCCATTGGCAATCGCACCAACGACATTCTGACTGCCGCCCGGCACTTTTTCAGGACACATGACGTGTATTGATTGCTTTGATTTTGCCAATTCCAGTTGTCTAGCCGTCTTGGTTGTACTTGCCTCTGATCATCATCTGATAAAAAATTGACAACCTCGCTCCCCACTGATGGCTAACATGTCAATACAGGTCTGTCACGATGGAAGGTACGAACCGACATGTCAGCATGTCAGATCAGTCACTGCTGCCAGACTGTGTCTCGTCGGTTGAAGTTCTCGAGACCTGGCGCCATTAGAAAGGGCTCTGTTGCTAGGCCTCTTGATCCTGTTATAGTCTGGAAAGTGGATCTTGTTGTGGCTTGGTTATGGGGGCCTGGGACTTGGCACTACTGAGAATGGCGCTGACGTCATTGGGAATGGCATCAGACCTCTAGTGTCCCGGGTACCCATGTTATGACTTTGGTGCTTCTGGTATCTTGTTGTCGGAGTTTTGGTAGGGCTTTGGTGCCCGTTGTGGTAACATCAGAGCCTTTCCTCTTGGATACTTCATAGGTGGACCACTATTGGTCTTCCTCACCTTGTTCAAGCGCTTGATGCCCTTAGTCCCACTTGAGCATTAAGGGTTTGATGGATACTAGGTTCACGGAGAATGGCTGCTGGTGGGGTGAATGGTTTAAAATACTCGGGGTAGTCTGCCTAGGATATTTCAACCTATTAATAACCTTAACAGTCAAGATCGGGGTGTCTACAGTTGCCCCTTTGTGTCGCTTTTGCCTCACTCAAATGGTGAGACACAGAGCGGCAAAGAAGTACAGCCTTGCAATAAAAGAGTTGGGTGGAGGAGAAAATCTGGACTGATCCTCTGCAAAGTCATGGCCTCTTGAGAGAGGGGCATGTCATGTCTAGTGGTCTCTCCTAGGACCCGGTGGTTAGCTTAGCCCGTTGTTTGGGGCGTCATAGGTTGGTCGCTCCCAGAATCATAGCTTGGGACCCAGAGGTTGTAGCTCCGTTTGTAGATTGTAGGGTCGGTGTACCACTTCTTTGCAAATTCAACGTCAAAATCATCTTGTATGGAATGTTGTAGTTGAGAATGACAGAGAAATCTCGACTGAATTGATCATAGATAGCCTCATATCCCAAGTGTGTTTCTAGGGTTGTCTAAGGCTGGTGATGGTTTAAGAATTGGAAGTTTTTGTTTTGTTTCTAACTAATGGGGAAAATGGGCATGGTAAGTAGTTTCTACTTATCGTAGATATTTCTCGTTAGAATCAAGTGATTATGAGTGCAATGTAATCATCATTATCAGGGCCATTCCCACTCCTTTATTTTCAAAAATCATTTTTTAGAGCAAGGAAGTTGTGAAAATCAAGAAGAAAGGTTTTAAAACAAATTCTAATGTCGGGTTACGATTTGAACCCAAAAGATTAAATTTTTTTAAATGACATACACAGTGTAAAGGGTTTTTATAAGTTCCCAGATCATGATTGCCTGATACAGGATTTTTGGATTTTTTTTTAAAAGAGAGATTTTTTGAAAGTTTGAAAATAGACTTGGTATGCATTTTAAACTCATGCGATCAAGGAGTCATCCAAGCAATTTAATGTCATGCGGTGATGGACAAGGTAAGTAGTTTAATGTCATGCATCCATGGACGAGGTAAGCAGTTTAACGACATGCTTCTAAGGACGAACATTGAATTGGATTGCCCCTAGCAGATATTACCAGTATCCGTTGGGAAGTATTGAAGGGACATTGGTTTTGACCAATTAATTAATTATTTGGGAGATTCGGCATCTGTGTTAGGTCAGGTCCGGGTCAATTCGGAGAGATTT